AATGATTTCACCAGCCAAGGACCATCAAAGATTGCAAGCAAACAGCCAGGAGGTAGGGAGAGGCATGGAACAGATGTCCTCTCTTCCAGAGCCTCCAGAAGGAACCAATCCTGCCATCTTAAACCTCTAGCCTCCTGAACTGTCAGACAATAAATTTCTATGTAAGTCTCCCAGTCTGTGTGGTGCTTTGTTTTGGCAGCCTGAGCAGACTGGTACAGTGTGTATGCAGGAATACATCATAATGTGATTGAGCAAAATAATAAGGGGTCAAGTCATTACCTGGTTATTGTTCTTTCTGAGGAAGGATGCTAATGTCTAAAAGCCCTTCAGGAGATGCTTCAAGGAGGCATAATACAATTTGGTGTTCACAAGGGAACCAGGTACATCCTTAGTTTCTTCAGTGGTACCTCATTCAAATAGAAAGATTTTTCTCTTCCCCTTAGATCTTTTTTTTTTTTAATTGATTAAAAAAGCAGGCAAGGGTTTATTGAAAAACTGGCCAGGACGGCCCGCAGGAGCACCACATGCAGGTGGGCCCCACAGGACTGCACTGATCCAGGGGTAGGCAATCCCTTCTAAAGCTTCAAACACAGGAATTTCCCTTAGTCCTAAATTCTAAAGGCTGGGAACATTGGAATGTGGCCTTATCTTGCCCATAATATAAAAGCAGAACTCAGAGGTTAATCTCTAAAGGTTATCTATAGTTTCTACCCCTGAAGCTACTGAGTCAGTGGGAGTCAATCTCCTGTAACTACCCTATTGTTTAAGCAAGTAATCGAAGGTCGAAGTCAGATAGCAAGGTTAAAATTCAAACAGCAGTTTTTACCTAAGTATGATTGCTACCATATTTCATTCCCCACTGATTTTTTTGTGCATGAGTCAAATCATTGACTCATCCTACTTCCTTGCTCTCCAGTCCCCTAGCCCCCTTAGATCTTAATATACTACTTTACTAGGGAGTAAAGTAGGATGTACAATCACCACTTCAATCTGTTGGCAAACAATAAAGGCCAAATATGTTCCAGTTAAGCATGTGCATTAATATCCATAAACTCTCATCTTCCTTTTTTATTCTGATTAAGGCTTTATTATTTTTAATGTTTATACTTTCTAGTTTTCTTTTTAAATGGATTTTGTTTTTGGCAACTTTTTTTTTCTATAATGGTTCCACCACTAAAATGAAGGACTGAAACAGAATGAAACCCACCTGTGTTTCTCTTTTGATAAATAAACTAGCAAGCAATGAAAAGGGCACAAAGGATCAGGTACAAAGATAATCACTGAAATGGAGTCCAATATGTGGTGTGTGCTATAGTCAGACTCAGAATGACCTGGGCAGAGGCCATGTGAAATGAGACTATAGTGTCTTTTCCTTGGTCCTCACTTCCAAGTCCTGTCTGTAAGAAAGGCTATACCCTTCCTCCGCCATGTTTCTGATAAAGCCATTTTTTATTCATTGCTCCTCAATGTCACATTCATTCTGACTTCATATATTGAGCAAAGCATTGAAACTCAGTATTATTATAATTATGTCCTTTCTATGATAGGGCTTCCATTAACTTCTATAACCTTGATTAGATTACAACTATCATTTGTGATCTATGCTACAATAAAAATAAGAGACAAAGGGTTTAATAGCTTTCTCCCTTTAACACAGAGGGCCAGAGTCAACCATCTGTCAAAGGCAGTGATTTCTACCTCCCAAACCAATACTTCAATCTGAAGAACATGCTGTGTATGTTGCAAGGACACAAATCCTTCTAATTTTCTCAATATTTCTACCCAAGAAAATTAACTGGGGTCACTAGACAAGTAAAGGCCATGGCATGTACAACTGTGGAATTGCAGCATTGCAAAGGACCGCTGACAATGTAAGGAATCTTCTTTCTCATTTCCCTGACATACCACAGGACCTCCAGTTGATTGCTTCTCATGACAACAGCTAACTATTTGTGTTTTGGGACAGCTGGCTGAGCAGTACTTTCTACAAATATGTGGGCCATACTTCACTTGTTGTATGTCAGCCTTCAGCCATAATTATCTGGAAAAAATGAATCGGGAAGCAACAAAGAGGATTGACTTAGATGCACAGCTAGGTGGCTTTGTGTTTCTAGCTATTTAAATTCAAAAGGAAATAAAAATTAAATATCAAAGGAACAAATTTCAGACACCAATATGTACTAAATACCTACTATGTTCCCAGCACTGGGCCAGGAAATTAAAGGGAGCTAGAACTCAAAAGATCATTCATTATCCTCAATTCACTTAAAATACTGTCTAACTATAATTAATATCTGAAACAAGCCCAAATTAATGAAAGAGATAGTACAGTATACTAGTAAGTCCCAAGTTGGCCAGTTAGACTAAACATTGCAAGAGTTCAGAGGGTGGTTATAAAAAAATGAAGAATTTATAAGCATCATCATGAAGTAACATGGTCTTGACCATACTTTGTAGAACAAGTGAGATTTATAAAATCATAGGAATTAAAACTATTTTTTTTGAGAATATATCTAGAGCTAAAGGGCAATTCGACAGCTGTTCCAAAACACACAAAATAAAATAGTGCTGATTCTGTCACTATTTTAAAAAAAGTGAGGACCCAGGAATGGGAAAGGAATGTTGAAATACAGTCAAGTAGGAGTAGGAACTGGGGAATGGCACTGCTCCTCAGGCTAAGCTGCTGGGAAAACCAAACTCTACCCTGAACTTGGGGATTTTTCTAACTGACAGATTTAATAAACCATGGGCATTTTATCTTTCAGAGAAGATACAGAAGGTTACTGAGCTCCTTTGCTGTCTCTCAGTCATCTTTAATATCCCCATTCTGCACACGTGAAAAGTTCCCATTCGGCTGATTAGAATTTAATCTGTGTGCCCCCTTTCTATGTACAAATGTCCTCCATCTTCCCAGAATATCATACAGCACTTCTAAGATGTACTTAACCAGCCTGATTAATTACTGAGCCTCTATGTAAATTATGTCAAGAGTAAGATGATCATTTTATCACTTTTTCAGCTTGCTAAACATTTACAGTTTAACATGTCTGACAAAGCCATTTGTATACCCCTGTAATATAAATGAAGGTACATTTAAGCGCCGGTAAGTCTGTAATGCTAATAGCCTTCAAGTGCTTTGCTAACTACAGACAGTTTCCTAAGCAATTACAAGATGTTCTATGTTAATTTAGAATGAAATTCCAAACAAGGCATTTAAAACCTAATAAGATACTATTAAATGAAGGGAGACAGGAAAGAGAAAGAAAACCCTAAGGCTTGAACTCGGAGAAATGATTTTCAGAGCTACTGACCCTTGCAAGATCCACGTTTTCCTTGGACTTTTAGACACAAAACAGATTTCTAATTGAAGGTGATTATCTAGTTACTACATCCCAAATTGCATGTATTTCTTGTTTTGAGTTATATCAACATCTAATTATATGAAGCACTGATCAGTTTGTAAGTCCATAGAAACTGCTGAGTTTCTACATACAATGAGAATGTGTTCTATAAACTATGAGACACTACATAACCACCATGCCTGATCATCTTAAGTGACAGCAGTTGCCTCTTTGTACGCATGTGGATCCAAGAGCTGAATTATAATATCAATCAATAAGGAATACATTAAAGAAATCACAGAAAAAAACAACACAAAAAAAACCACCTGGTTTGCTCTTGGATTTTCTGAGGTGTGGACACCATATGCATGCGTGCTATACCCTAGAAATATACATATTGATACAGTCACTGTTATCATTACAAAAAAAAATAAAAGAACAGCAACATACAATTAAAACCAAAAGACAAATTTCTTTGTTGCAGTTTTTTATCTCTATACAACTTGAGAGCTCAGTGCCTCAGTCAGAGGTGGGTAGCTTGATCAAGGCAATATCTATAATAATAAAAGTGTAATATGCTAATTAGACCAGACAACCTTCCAGACAAAGCCGGGGCTGAGAGGGAAGCTCGGGTCCCCTGTGCCAGAGGGAAGCCGGTGCCGGCTGCTGGGAGGGAAGGAAGGCCTACTCTTGCATGAATTTAGTGCATCGGACCTCTAGTACAGTGTTTTTCAACCTTTTTTGGGCAAAGGCACACTTGTTTCATGAAAAAAATCACGAGGCACACCACCATTAGAAAATGTTAAAAAATTTAACTCTGTGCCTATATTGACTATATATAAAGTAATTCTCTTGAATAGGAATCAAATAAACACAAAGAAAGTATTTTATAATTACTTTATTATGAAATATTAAGTAAACAAAATAGTGAAAAATTATAAAATTCTTGTCTTGTCTGCACCTACGGCACACCAGGCAACATCTCGCGGCACACTAGTGTGCCGCGGAACAGCGGTTGAAAAACGCTGCTCTAGTAACAATATAAAGAAATACACAAAGTTCTGCATAGCACCAGCGTGCCTCTGTAAAATATAATTCCCATTAGTGAGGTTAATTAAGATTAACACACAAGCCATTGAAAATCCCCATAGTAGATAAAGGATAATTTACCAAGGAAGCACACAAAGATTAGAGTAGCATTCACTCTGAGTCACTCATTGAAGGGACTAAAAGGAGGGTCTTATTAATACTTGAAATGTCACCATTGGTTACCAAAATGATATGTACCCAATCAGCTTACAAAGGCTGAAGGACAGCTTATTTTCTTAGAAAAGTTCTATGAACAATGCAGGGTGGCACACAGAACAAAAAGCAAACCAGAAGTGAATCCAACCAAGTGTATAATCATTGCTATCAAACAGGTTATACTCATGTGCATATGTGAGGTATTGTTTTACTGAGATGAATCAACAGCATTCAACAACTTAGTACAGTGTTTTCACCCAAAATAATAACCTGCATTTCTAATCAAACCGATTGCAAAGAAGTATTCACAGCAAAAGCAGAACACTGACTTAAGTGGTGGGGAGCCCTGTACCCCAGGTGTTCTGATGCCATCATGGAAATTCCATCATTGCCAGAAAGCATTCTCTCCCTTACCTCCAGGGTCATGTTCACGGTACTGATGGCCACCTTTATTTCTCCATCTGTCAGTTCTTTTAGGTCCTTCAACATTATTTGTTCAATACTTAAACCTGTGGATGAGAAGGGAAAATAGTATGTTAAATTGTGGAACTTTTTTCCCCCTAGTAATTTCAAGGAATAATTAAATTATTTATCCTGTTAATTTCAATATTTCCCCACTAATAATGCAATATTTCCCCACTAATAACACACACACACACACACACACACACACACACACACACACACTAAGGCAAACATCACTTTAGTGACAATATTTGCATCATTTAGGATCCCAGCAGGTAAAAGAATTCACCACTCATAAGCCAAAAGAAGACTATTTAATGGTAGGACACTTATAGAGCTGTAGACAGGACTGAAAGAGAGGATAACCATGGTGAGAGCCCAGAGGCTGGCAAAGGAAGTGAGATCTGGACCTGCAGAGGAGGGGCGTCAAATCAGAAAGGGAGCCGGGAGGAATAAGACAGCCTCTTTTCTTCCGGAGACCCGCACACCCTGCCTCTTACTAATTCTTCCCATTTACCAAACCCAAGCAGAAGGCAATAATCTCCAGGGAGCCCAGAGCACACAAGGGCAGAAGGTGCAATGGAAGGAAGTGGGCAAACAAAACCTATCCTATCATACCCATTACTTGGCAATCTGGCCAAATAATACCTAACAAGGCAATGATTTGCTTTTTGGATGCATTTAATTGAGCCCCAGGTTTTCTAGTATGATTTTATTAAAAATGCACTTTATAAATGTGACCCATAAAACTGTCATAATTAACTTGGTAACCCTTGTAATAGGCTCTGACATAGGAGATACTGAATTACTTAAACTATAGGAGAAATCTGGAGTGGTGAAATTATCCGGACTGCATAGTTGTGGTTGGCTGACCAATGTGTTTCCATGAAGTCTGTGGCCAAAACACAGGAAAGGGTCTGGCTTGACATTGAATAACCTCGCCCTCGGTTATTCTGTCTGACTAGAACTATTCTCTTGGGAGGAAGACCCCTCAGAAAACCCAGCAAAGCACATACACCCTTCCCAGACGCATGAAGACACCAGAGCCGATCACTTGCCTTCCTCCCAGTTTAGAACGCAACCAATCACAGCAGTCTGGGAAACAGGCACTAAATATGTTTCTTTGACTCGAAGATTGAAAGGCCGCACTCTATCATACTGCAGTATGAAATGATTTATCGACCATGTTTATAAACACTTAAAAGTTTGGCCTAGTTTTAAAGATGAATGATGAAATACACACCATCGTGCAGCTATACATACCGTATCATCACACATGTGCATTTGTAACGAAGAGTGTGGAACCCACAGGGCCCCACCCACACTTGCCATTGCTGTGAGCCCAACTTGACACTCAACCAGTAGCACCTGCCTCTCCTTTCCTGAGGGCCTACTCTGGCCACTAGAGGCTGCTCTGGGGGAATGGACAGCCCCAGGATCTGAGTGGCCATCAATATCCCAGTGGTATATTGGTAAATGTTAAATAATCAGCAACAAAAATTGATCTGTGGTACAGGTAGTGTCAATTTCTCTGGTGTCAATACGTCTACAGAGAATGCTGTCATTGCTGCCAACCTAAGAATGACCAACTCACAAAACCCCTGAAACTAACCATCAGCTCCTGGAGCTCCTGTGAACAAGTTCCAGCACACCACTGCGCTTGCTCACTTGGGATAACACTGAGGTGCAAGTTTATACTCTTTCCCTAGTTGGATGAAGGCCTGATTGCCCATGGAGCTAACGCCACCCCCTATCAGTGTTCTCTGGGGTCACATCTCTGATAAACTGCATTGCCTCAGGCCCTGCCCCTGGGCGATTCCAAACTAATGGAGAAAGCTTTGCACCTGAAATGTAGGTTGTCTGGGTATAAATCCGGGCCTGGCCACCAGGCAGGTGTGTGTGATGCAAAAGCAATGACGCCTCTCTCTGCTCCAATATTCTCACCTAGAAACTGGAGATAATAACAGGATCTGGCAGGGTTGTCGCACAGACTCAGTGAGGAATTCAAGCAGTTATGCCATCAGAACCTTACGTATCTTAGGCACTCAATGGATTGTTGCTATTTTTTATTTATTATTATTATTATTATTATTATTATTATTATTATTATAAAACAACTGATCCAGGGGATCCACTGTACTGAGGAAGCCTAAATTGGAGAACAAGTCTATCTATTCGGCTGTCTTCTCTTTTATTTTATTTTCTAAAATTAACTGATTTACAAAATCTCATTGTGTTTGACATTGCTCAGGTTGGAGATTTCATGTCATCATCTGGGGCGGGCATGAGACATGTGAATTAACCACACACCCAGACACGAAGGCCTCAGAGGACAGGCTGCCTGCAGGCTGCCTGCTCCCAGGTGAGCTGACACCAGGTGCCTGAAAATCGTCCATAAGTGTGAGCAACAGGGAGCAAAGTGCAGGCGGAGTCAAATTCACCTTCTGGGGCCTGGCAGCACTCCACCCCACACAGCAGCCCTGCTCAGAGCCGCGGCAGAGCCGAGACGGTCACTCACCCTGAGCCCCCGCGTGGCTCTCCTGCAGCACTGTGATGATGTCCTCTCTGGGAGGTAAGCTAGGGAACTTTTCTTCCAGGATGGAAAGAATTTCCTCCTGCTTCTCTGAGATCTTCTCGGATTCCATGGTCATGTGCTTGAAAAGGATGCTACCTAAAAGGCAGGAATAAAACAGCCTTAAACGTTCCGCCCAAGCCAGGAAGTGGCCAGGAAAAGCAGTGTTTGCTGGCCCTTCCACCTCTGCTTTCACTTCTGGTTTCTGGCTGGAGTAGGGGCCTCCACAATGTAGGATTCAAGAAGTGATTTTTAGAAAACCCATCGGTTACCATCTGCCCTCTCTGATTTTCACCAGATATTAATCTCTACAACTTAACTGACCATAGCATGCTCTATGACACAGAGTTTTATGGATAAAGGAACAAAATATATAGCTTCTCCCCACCCCACACAAATACATAAAAATGGTCAATGTTGGTTTTACATCATTTCAGAATAAAAGTTAATGGTAAGCCCAGCTGGCATGGCTCAATGGTTGGACATTGGCCTATGAACCAAGAGGTCACAGTTTGATTCCTGGTTGGGCACATGCCCAAGTTGTGGGCTCAGTCCCCAGTGTGGGGCATGCAGGAAGCAGTCAATCAATGATTCTTTCTCATCATTGATGTTTCTATCTCTCTCTCACTCTTCTTTCCTCACTGAAACAATCTCTCTCTCCCCCCCCCCCTCTCTCTGTCTCTCTCGTCCTGCATTATTTATTTCTTAAGTTAAAGTATACCAAGTCCAGGCAGAATAAAGCTTTTGCATTGCATTTCAACTGCAGTAAGACTATACTGGAAGGAGAAAGTCCCCTTTCTTCATCCAGGTTTTTAATACAACATTTATATTCACTAATAACCTAGCTTTTAAATATGTAAAGCAAAAATTGACAAAACAGGATGAAGAAAGATTAATATGCAGTCACTGTGGGAAATTTTAACACAATTGTCTTACCAACTCTAAGAACCAGTAGAAAAAGTATATAAAGATGTAGAATATTTGAGCAACATGAGCAACACATTTGACTTAATTCACATATATTGAACATTGCTATCAACAATGACAAATGAAACATTTATTCAAATTGACCATCTGTTGAGTCATAAATCAAATAAATCAAATATTAACAAATTTCAAAGCATTGCAATCAGTTATATTCCGTGACCAGCACACAAACAGTCTGAAAATCATAATAAAACAAAACCTAGAAAACTTCCAAGTCTTTGAAAATTAAACAATGCATTTCCAAATAACTCATGGTAAAAGAATCACAACATAAATCTATACTAATAAAAGCCTAGGTTGTCCTCATGCCCTCACGTCGTCACAAGATGGCCACCACAAGATGGCTGGGGGGGAGGTCAGTTAGGGGCGATGAGGCCAACAGGGGAGGGCAGTTGGGGGCGACCAGGATGTCAGGGGAGGTCAGTTGGGGGCGATTGGGCTAGATGAGAAAAGGATGCCTGTGATGACTATTTCCATTCAGTAGGCACTGTGAATTCTAGCCAGAGCAGTAAGGCAAGCAAAAGATGTAAAGCGGCTGAAACCGGTTTGGCTCAGCGGTAGAGCATCGGTCTGAGGACTGAAAAGTCCCAGGTTCGATTCCAGTCAAGGGCATGTACGTTGGTTGCGGGCATATCCCTGGTAGGGGGTGTGCAAGAGGCAGCTGGTCGATGTTTCTCTCTCATCGACGTTTCTAGCTCTCTATCTCTCTCCCTTCCTCTCTGTAAAAAATCAATAAAAATACATTTTTTTAAAAAGATGTAAAGCGAATGTAAGTAAAGGGGTAGGGGGTGGGGGTAAGGAATAAATACATCTTTCCTAACAGATGATATGTTTGTGTCCATAAAAAATAAAAATAAAAAAATCTACAGATAAGCGTAAAATAGTAAGTAAATTTAGCATGTTGGATATAAGTATAATAATACAAAATATGTAATTCTATAAACAATATCAACTTGAAAATCAAATTTAAATATTAAAAAACTGTAATAGCACCAAAATATAAGGTGCTTAGGAATTAAAAAATGTGCCTGGCTTACAATCAAACCAATAACGCAATATATTTTTTTATTTGAGGATCTTAATTTTTAAAATACATACTATAGAAAAGGGATACCCAGAAGTTAATCTAAGAGATATTGCACTAAACAGAGTCCTACAGAATAATCCAATGAAAAGAGATCGACTCTGGTTGGTGATGAAATGTGACTTGACAATTAGAAAGGAGATGATGTACTGACACAGATGGAGAAAAATAACGAGCATCAAAAAGATAGTCACCACACTCCGAGATGTTTCTACTGCATAAGAAAAACAATGGCCCAAATTTATCCAAGAGACTCATCTATAGAAACTTTTCTTCTTCACATTAGAGACCCATTCAACTACATACTTAACTGCCTATCAGTATCAGAATATGCGGTAGCCAAAGGCACCTCTACAAATTTAAACTTGCTTTTTATTTAACCTCCAGCAAATTCTGCACAACTCAAGAACTACTTAAACCCATACACTGTGCCCAAAAGCATCCCAGCTATTCATCGGTCTGGGAGAAAGAACAACAAGCAACAGAGAAAGCAATTATTATAAAATAGTAACAAGCATTTCATTCCATTAGGAAAAAGTAACCTGCAATAGTCTTTGTTGAAAGAATGCAGAAGTGAAGGACCACTTGCCAAAAGCAATTGCAATACATAAATATTAAACATGATCTAACGAAGCCAGAAGTTGTTTGGGGAAAACATTCACCAGTAAAAAACATATTCTGCAGAATGAACTCTTAGCAGAAAAGAAGGGACTTAAATCTGATTCTTGTTACACCTGGGATAGACTTTTTTCATGCCAAAGCAAAAACATTAAAGAATGAATAATAGAGGGAGGGAAAGAGGAAGGAGAAAAATGTAGAAAATACAACGTAGCTTACATTTTTGGCTGAAAGGGGATGAAAAATGAACATATTATTCAGTGCTTAATAATCTTATAAGTTTTAAATGTTTAAATTTAATAAGGCTCATTTTTGTATGACAGAAGATGCTCTGAGGTTGGAGAATTGTTCTGGTTTTATATTTTGCTGAAAAAATAATTTCTTTCCCCTACCCCCAATATAGGCCTTTCTTCTTCCTAAGCAAAACAAGCAATGTAATTCCCCTGGACTCTGAACCATTTCAGGAGAGGGATGATTCACTCTTTGGGCAAGAGGGGAAAAAAAAAAAAAAGCTGGCCCTCTTCCTTTCCTATTTGACCTCCTTAAAAGGACCTTTTTGAAGCTGTTAGTCCAGGCTACTAAAATAGCAAGGAACTATTCTTTATTAAAGTTCAAATGGAGCTGCCAATAGAAAGGAGAGAAATTGTTTCCTAAAAATCAAAGAAACAATTTCTACATCCTGTGCTAAGAACAATTGCTATTGTTTCACAGTTCATATTGAGGCTTTGTCAAGGTCTTATACAAATACATGTGAAAATTTTTTGAGGAAAGTGTTGTCTTAATGGAAATATGCCTGGTAAAGGGCTGAAATCCCATCATTGCCAGCTGGTTCCTCACACACACACACACACACACACACACACACACACAATCACACACACACACACACACACACACACACACAATGGGATGATTCAGCAATTTAATGTTCCTCAAATTTGGCAACAGTCCTCTAGTACACATCTCTGGGGAAATAAAAGAATATGGATTGAGGAGTCTGGAGGGTTTACAGTAATTGTTTGCTTTGGGCACAAACCCCAGGCATAACCAAATATCAATGTTAGGCCACCATGACTATGTAATTTGATTTTTAGATAGTTCAAGCTGCAGCTTGTCTGAAAATGATACAGATCTTGGAAGCAGACAGTACAAGGGAGAAGAGTTGGGAGAGGAAGGGATGACAAAGAAAGGAAGGGAGGAGAAAGAAAGCAAAGAACAAAGAAAACCACAACAGCAAAAACAGAGATAGAGAGGGGGTGAAGAAGTGAATAGACATTTCCAAAAACCAGGGTCGTTTATGATCTCATGTGAATGAGCACATTCTCATAGACAACTGAGACGGGGAAGTATCTGACATATTGTATTCAGTTCCCATGCAAACTGCTATTACCGGTATATAGTATGTTGGAGGATGTCTATGACCTTATTAAGTGTTGTTGTTTTGTTTGTTTTTTGTTTTGTTTTTTCAAAAAGATAGATATAAGGAAAAAACACTTGCGATTTAGACTTTTTTTATTTTATTTTATTTATTTATTTATTTTGTTAAAAATATATTTTATTGATTTTTATACAGAGAGAAAGGGAGAGAGAGAGATAGAGAGTTAGAAACATCGATGAGAGAGAGTCTTCGATCAGCTGCCTCTTGCACACCCCCTACTGGGGATATGCCCGCAACCAAGGTACATGCCCTTGACCGGAATCGAACCCGGGACCCTTCAGTCCCCAAGCCGACGCTCTATCCATTGAGCCAAACCGGTCCCGGCTAGACTTTTTTTAAATGAAGTTCTAGTATGTGTGTTTTAGTAATAATGCAAATATTGCAACATTTCTACATTTTCATTGATTCCAGAAATCTCATATCCAGAGTTTAAAACTGAAAATTATTCACTCCTTCATTTTTTAAAACTATATCTTGATCTCATTCCTTTCTCTACATGGTTTTGTTCCCTGATGGTGACTTTGTTGTTGTTATTGTTGTTTTATATTTGTATAAATAACTTCAAATATTCTATGGAGCCTAACTGGTTTGACTTAGTGGATGGAGCGTTGGCCTGAGAACTGAAGAGTCCCAGGTTCGATTCCTGTCAAGGGCATGTACCTTGGTTGCGAGCACATCCCCAGTAGGGAGTATGCAGGAGGCAGCTGATTGATGTTTCTCTCTCATCGATGTTTCTAACTCTCTATTCCTCTTCCTTCCTCTCTGTAAACAAAAAAAATCAATAAAATATATTTAAAAAATATTCTATGTAAGAAGAGAGGAAATGAATAATGAAATAAGTAAATGGACAGATGATAGATATTGAAAAATGCATATTCCTTTCAGCATAAGAGGCTAAGGGGCAGACTTAGGGCGCTCTCCAAGGATGGAGAGGATCAATATCTTGGCCCTTCATAGCACACCCGTGTGCCTCTGTATGGTGTGTTCTCAGATCTGACCCTGGGAATGAAAGGTAACCAGCAACCCAACTGATTATTTAGTTCTTAGCAAATTCAGATTTTGGGGGTACAAAGCTCACAATAATATATTCCCTACAGAGTTCTAACTATGAAGCTTTTTAAAGACTCTTCCAAGTCAGCCATCCATATCTAGTCTCACAACATCTGGAAGTAGACATTTTTCCAAGTTCTTTAGGGGAAGGGTGTGCACAGAAATGGTGCATTCCTTCAAGACCTGGAAGAACGCATAAAGACAGGTTCTAGAAATGTGTGTCAAATTAATGATCATTTTGATCGCCCCAAAATACAAAATAATATCGTAGCTATTTACAGAGAAACACTTTAGAAAGAGAACTTTTTATAAAAAAATAAGGATTGCTAGAATTATTTATAGGCACATAAAAAAAAAACACACCTCCCTTTAGGTTTAGAGTTAGCACATGACTGGAAAAATATGAAATCTAGGTTTGAGTTTAGTGAATAATGAAAAATTTAACTTGATTTCTTTCTTATATTTAAAATTCAGTACTTTTTAAAAATTGCCCATTGCCCTTATGAAAAGTTGAGTTACCTCTTTAAAGTCACACTTCTACCCTCACCAGTTTAGCTCAGTGGATAGAGCGTTGGCCTGCAGACTGAAGGGTCCCAGATTCGATTCTGATCAAGGGCATGTACCTTGGCTGTGGGTACATCCCCAGTTGTGCAGGAGGCAGCTGATAGATGTTTCTCTCTCATCGATATTTCTAACTCTTTGTCCCCCCACCCCTTCCTCTCTGTAAAAAATCAATAAAATATGTTAAAAATAAAATAAAATAATAAAAAATAAAGTCACACTCCTTGGATCACCATCTGTTAGTTCCTTCTGGGCAAGACGATTCAGTGACATCTCCTCTCCCCTCCACATACACAGCACACACGTGCACTCCTGCCCATCTTGGCAAAAGGTCTCCAGAGCCTGCTTTCTATTCACATATGCCACCTCTGTCTCCTCCTCCCAGGCTCCAGTGGCTCTGACTCTCATCACAGTATCAGTATTGGCAGTCTTCATAGGCAGAGGCACTTCACTTCCCACATCCCAGTTTCTGAGTGACAATGAAGTGATTCCATTAGACTGGCTGCTTCCTAGCCCCACTTTAAGCCCAACCCTATGAAAAAACCTCTGAAGATAAAAGCCAAAGTCCTTTACCTCAGCTTTAATTCTTGGTAGCTTGGCTAACCAAAGCCATGGCCACTAACAAAGGGGTCTGTATTCCTTTTAATTCCTTGCATCTGAATATTATCAGCAGCAGCAGCAACAACAACAACAAGATCACCTTTGTACCAATGTGTTACAGTTTGACTGTCAATTTTACTATCTGTAGAAAACCATGAAGATGAACCGCTCATTGACTACAATTCTTTCCTACTAAATAATACATGTATTTTTTGAACAGTAAGCCAAACCTTCTTAGTTTGCAAACAAAATATCAATCCACTTCCCTCTTGACTGAGATCCCCAATTACCTTTATTTTCCTTCTGCTCTGCCACAGAGATAAATGATTTCTGCTTGCTTAGTTTAGTTGAAGGCACAGTTTCCCATAGAGCATTTTACAGATGCCATTAGCCAGAAAAATATTTTAAATGGGTTTACCAGGGCCATTAGTTCTAAAACATTTACAGGAACTTTATGACTCAAACTTTTTTTCCTTCCAAATTGTGGTAGAGACAGAGAAAGTGAAGACAAGACTTTAAAAGACCTGAATCAACTTATGAAGGATCAAAGATGACTCGAGAATATAACTTTACTTGCTTAATTCCGCATAAAAATTAAAGTAATATCCTGAATGTGCTGATATTGCTTTCAAGTATCTTGTCCCACCCCCACTAATATGCCTCTGTGAGCTGGTTTCTCCACTATGTATCTTATTAAAACACAACATTGCTGAAACCGGTTTGGCTCAGTGGATAGAGTGTCAGTCTGCAGACTGAAAGGTCCCAGGTTCAATCCTGGTAGGGGATGTGCAGGAGGTAGCTGGTCGATGTTTCTCTCTCATCAATGTTTCTAGCTCTCTATCCCTCTCCCTTCCTCTCTGTGGAAAATTAATAATATATATATATTAATAATATATATATATATCTAAAACAACATTATCCTTATGAGTGACACTGTCATTAATTCAATCTATATTAGATATTTTAAAAGAAACAAGTTCAATGATCACATTAGAAACTATGTGTTTTACATAATTTAAATATTGGTATGCATTAGTACAAATATTGGGTGCAAAACTTAAATATTGGTACATATGGTGTTTATTCAAAACTGTGTGTAGGCATTTAACTTACAGAACTAGCTATTTTACTCTTTTTATTGTTTTGTTTACACTTGCAATCAACAATGTGCAGTTTTTATTTTCTTTTTCCTATTGTTGTTTGTTCTGATTATATTATTAAAATGTTATTCTTTGTTCAATCGAATAATAAAAATTGAGACTTATAAAAAGAATAAGAGTTGAGTCAACATTTTCTAGGTCTTCTTCCTTTTTAAATTCTTTCAGCCTGTTCATCACTCGTTTTTACTTTATTGGGTTAAATACGTCTGGGGGGGAAAAAATCTATGTCTGCCATGTTCAAGAAAGAAAAAACCAATATCAAAACCCCAAACTGTCCTAAGTGAGGCAACATGGAATGGTTGTGGCACCAAAATCAGCTGACAGCTTCCAGCTTGGAAATCACGTTTGGGAAGCAGTGGGCTCCATGGAGATAAAATAGAGATTAGGGAGCACTTGATGACTGCAGACCAGAGTGCCTGACGCAGGCTGAGTAACAAGGGAAATACATTACAAGACGGGGAGAAAGAAGTGACAATTTGACTGTAAAAGTCCATCTTGCACAATGTTGCCAAAATGAAAGATACAGTTTGCCATCCAAACAGTATTATATAAACCAAGCACGTATCAGCGTTAGCAGATATTCAATGAGGACGTGGAAGTCTGGCCTATATTCACACTGTGGGGCAAGAAACACCTCTGGGAGCTGTGAAAGGATGAGAGGAGCGCTTCCAGCTCCCCAACAGAGGTGCGGGAGTTCCATTTAATATTCTAGCCTCGAAACAGCAAAGATCCGTCATGCCTATTTTTAAATGCACATTTTTAATATTCTATATAATGCTACTCTTTAACAAACTCTTTACTCCCTGCCTCTCTGATGAAGCTTCCCGTGGTCTTTAAAGGGATTGTTAACCCAAGAATGGATCGCACTCTTTCTGCATGAGCAAGTCGAGAGACACTCCATTAAGCCTTCCAGTATTTAATAGAAAGAGTCATCTCACCTCTGAGGAGATGAGCCAGCTGCTCAGTGATGAGCTCAGGAGCCTCCTGGAGAATCTCTTTCACCACGAGGGAGGAGAAAGACTCACCGAACCCAAGCCCAGCATTGCTCTGCTCAACTGGACTAATGACTTTGACAACAGCCGATTCTAAAGCTTTGTCCTCACTGGAAAGCAAATGGAGGAGAGGAAGAGAAAGAAATATGGCATGTTTTCTTACTTTGGGAAATTACTTAATGTCTTCTCCCACACAAATGATTTCCTCTCAATAGCCAAAACTATAAGTAAGTGCATATGACTCAGAAGAACCTTATTCTATGTGTTTTCACATTTCATGTTAACTAATTATGTCCCCCAAAATTCTTAGAGTGCCTTCACACCTTTGTACTCCTCTTTCACTTTGCTACTAGATAATAATAATAATAATAATAATAATAATTGCTAAATTTGTTGAGCTTCCACTATGGGTCAGATACTGTTATAAATACTTTCAAAGTATTATCACATTTTATACTATAAAATGATCCTATGAAATGGATTTTATTAAAATTTCCACTTTACAAATAGGGAGACAGGGGAATGAAGAGGTTAAGAAATTTGTCCAAGGCCAGAAAGCCTGTATGTAAGTAGATTGGATTGGATTTAGACTCTGACAATCTGGTTCCAACATTTGCATATCCAGTCATAGTGCTGGAGAAAAAAATACCATGAGTTTATTTACTTCTGAAGAAAAATCTGGATAAAACTAACTTTATTCTCTCTTGTGCCAAAGCCAAATGAGTAGTAATGAAGGAAGTGAAGAGCTCTATTCTCAGAAAGCACTCTATTTCATAAACTATCTCAAAGCCAGAGTTCACAACTTCAGTCTCAAAACAAGCAAAGTTTTTCAATTTTAATTGGTAACAAAACTCTTCTAAAGATTTCAACTAATACATATTTTTCATAGCTCAGCCCTTTGGAATTTTTCAACTGTTTTTTTTTTTTTAAATATCTACTTGCATTTGTTGGTCTGAAAGGTTAACATAAATTTAGTAAAGCATGTGATCATTCTGAATACAGATAAAAGAAGTCAGTCAAATAACCTACCAATACCTCTCAGTCAGTTATCAATAACTGATAGATAAATATTAGTCAAAAGAACTTTGTGTTTCAAACATCATGGGGAATTATTGTGAAAACATTTTATAACTGCATACCTAACATTACAATATATTAACGAAATATGCTTTCTAAAAAAGGTTAAAAAATTAGATATTGTACATGCTTTTATTTTATGTATACTAAAGTCAATATCCACTGGTTAATGTCATCAATAATTAGCAAATTGGAAAAGTATGCAAAAAAAAAATCCCAACATCTAAAACCACTCAGATGTTTAACTCTGATTCTTCATGTAGTAGCACTAGAAAGCTTATCAAAGGAATCTTTGTATTTGGTTGTAAGGTCCTTGAGTAATTTGTCTTATTACTCTTTACATACCCTTTAGATTCTTATATTAGTTAGCAATTCTTAAGTATTGTACTTATTGAAGGAGGAAGAAAACCCAAGTTTTCATCAAAACTCCTCTATTAACTGCATGTGGTACCTTGGGTAGGTCATTTGCAACCCTAGATGAAAAGGTTTTTGTCCATGAAATAGAGTTCAAATGACATGAACTTAAAAAAAAAATATATATATATATATATATGTCTATCCTGCTCTTAAAGTATAATAATGCTATGAGTGATGAGCCAATGAACAAATGATGTTCATAGCCCATCTACATAAATTTTCATTTCACTACTGAGATTTCTTTCTTAAGAAACTCTCATTTTATTTAGTGTTTAATTTCTACTTTTCTTTCTTACCCATCTGCAGCATCAATACACACGAGAGTTGCCTTGCTACAACAAGTGTTTGAAGTGGTTTAAAATTATAATTTTGGTCAATTTTACAAGAACTTTTCACTCAAAGACGTCATTATGTTTGAAATGCCAAAGTAAAAACAGAAAATTGGCATATCCCAGATTTTGCCATAAAAGAAGAAAAAAATATTTCCTTTCCTCTGAATGTCCTCTACCTTTCACATTTCCCTGAACCACAAAAATGGTGAACGAGGTGATACTTTGCCCAGAAGAGCCTTCCTGAAAAGACCAGACCTCCAGAGCCTCACCTCGTCAGCACGTTGTTGCCAATGAGTGTCATAGATAACTTTCCTTCATCGTTCAGCTGATGCAGGTTAATTTCATCTCGGAAGATGTGGGATGATTCAGAGATGTTTAGCTCTTCCAGAATAAACCTTGTCTCGGTGAAGTAGCTGAACTCAGCCCTGGGTGTGTTCAGCACTGGCAAACAGAGAACCCCCGGGGGACTGACCTACGGAGAAAAGAGTTCATTTTCTGACAATGGCAGGAGGAAAGAGTACATCCACATTTTCTCAAGCTGAGTTCCACCAGTGAAGGGTACAAAGGTCCTTTGGCCTCATTAAGCCATTTGACCTTCATAACCAACTTTACCTAAACACCATTAGCAGAGCTTTATCCATAAGAGGCCCCTAATGTTTTTCACCCTACATTAAAATTCTCATGCCTTATTTAAAATATTTTGTCTCTTATATTTTTTTAAAAAATGTATACATTCTGCTCTTCATGGGATATAAATTCACACCTCTTTATGGAATCAGCAGAAACTTAGGATGACTGAAATAGGGCAGGTGAGGACTGTGGTGACACAGAAAGCCATGCATGTCCCATCTCCATGGGATGCCTGTCACTCAGTTCCAGCCCATTGTTTATCTGCAAAAAATCCAAGCTCAGAATAGTTAAGTCCTTCAATTACTCAAGAAAAGTTGGAGTAACTAACTGGTTTGGCCCAGTGGATAAGAGCATCGGCCTGTGGACTGAAAAGTGGTATAACTAGTATATGATTTCCTTAAGAATCCATGCCACTATCAGTCTAAATGTCAGTCTGATTCAGTCAATTCTATGTTATTGAGACAGGCATTTTTTTTCCCTAGGAACCAAAAATCCAGTTAATAAGATAAGTGTTTAATATGCATGCCTTGTCACAGGCACACTTATCTCCGCATACCAATTAATCTACCTTGTAAGGTTCAACAAATTTTAAGGAAAAAAAATTTTTTTTAAAGATAAATTTGCTATAAAGCCCGTATGCAGAAATCAGGGTACCTGACCTAGCAGTTTGGTCAGCTGCTGCCCTAAAGCCATTCTTGCCACCTCAGCTCATCCTGGAAGACTGGGTTTCATGTGAATTAAATCACTTAGATTGACTGTGCATAATCTAAGAGTCAAGGATCCATATAAAATGGGAATAAAAAATCTAATGTACTCCATAAAATTAAAAATTGTGTGAAATTGCAAATAGCACCAAAATATTCAGAATGCACCTTTTTCAGCTTTGAGAGAATGCATTACCATGGGCTAATGAATTTTAGGGAATGGAAAATTTACAACAACTTATTGAAAGGCCTTTTTCACCCTTAGAGACGACTTTACAGAGTACAAAGATTCTCACTCAGGGGAGATTCTCACTGAGAATGGCCTTGTTGTACACAGTCAGGGCTAAAAGGCCACAACAATATAGATGTGATATGTAATATCTCTGTTACTGAAAATTTCAGACAGTGAGCTCTGTGCTTCATGTAGTGTTCATGCAGGTTATTCTGCACATATTTTTCTACTTCCAAGGGAAAGACTTTCCAAAAAGGATGATAAAGGAAAACAAGGCATTCTGACCCTTACTATTGTTAGTTCTCTGAATTCTCATACAACTAATTAACTATCACAAAACATTTTTTATTTTCAATTTGAAAACATTGATCTTATTAAAATAATGTTGTATGAAGAGAATTGGTAAGAAATAATCATAACAACGCCTAACATAGTAGGTGATCAATAAATATTTATTGGTTAATGGGTTATAATGCATTGTTCTCTGCAACAATAAACCAGAACATGAAAACTTAAATTAGTAGGTTTCTTATATTCCCAGAAAATGTGTGTTCTTAAATTTTACATCACAATTCAAATTAAAAAGCATAATTTTCTTTTCCCTCACCTTGTCTAGAAAGTAAGCATATGTGAAGGCAGAAATGAGAGAATCCAAGTCACATGATTTATGTCCAATAACCACATGGACCTTCTCCAAGCGTTTGCTTCGATTCTGAAATAAATGAAAAAAGATAATCACAATTTAACATGCAACAGACCAATATAAATAGGACATTTTTCCATCTTTTTTTTTTTAAGTATGGCCTTAGCTACACTCATACTCACTCGTACATATGATTTTATGTAGAAAATCATAAATTTATCATGAAGGTTTTACACCAAGACATGCACAACACTGCACAATACGGTTAACATTCAGAAATGTTCATTCAAATTTTAATAAATTGTCAGCAACAGACAACTGTTGGCTCACAACCTCGGGAGTTTCCCCAGATAAAATCAGAAATTGGCCCTCATACACAGAGGGCAAAGAGCGACCAAAGAAAGAGGCAGGTCATTCCAGCTTGTAGGTGGCAGTTTTAATGAGCCAGGGAACTTACAAAGCTTGACTTGAGTGGCCACAAGGCAAGAGATCGCTGCACCCTCCTGCCAGAATCTTAGACATTTATATAGAGGCCTTCCCTGGGTTCAGTCATGGAGGGTCTCAACAAGAGACTATCTCAAGACTACATCCTTGTAAAAGGTTCCCACTGTGGGAACAGTGGGCAGAACATACATTGTGGGGCAGGAGAAGGCATGAGAGGCCTCTGATTGCCCGGGTCTGGCTCACAGATCAACCGGTAGTTATAGTTATGTCCTCTGGATTACCTCCTCCACAAAAAAAAAAAAAAAAAAAAAAAAAAAAAAAAAAAAAAATGGTTTTATTAAGATTATTCACAGTCTAGCTCACATGAACTGTAACTGTGAGTCATAATTTCTTGGTAAAAGATTATTTTGTTCTAAAAAGCAATTCCATAGTATTCACATCATTTTCTTATATAAAATGTTCTTCTTAATTTGACAAAGTGCCTTTTTTCATACATCCCTGGCATACAACACAAACTTTGGTAGGAATTTACTTTTTTCATGTCGCATTTGGGTAATAGGATGTTCTCTCTGCATTATACTCTATAATTTAGCAAATAAAAGTTGTAGCACTCCCCATCTTGCTCCCAAGAAAGGAATATGATTAGTATCATTCCTCTAAAAATACAAATCAGTTGCTGTTTAAAAATGTATATAATCACCTCTCTGGAAGAGAAGATATATGCTTGTCTTTCCTGGTTAACTCCATAGTTAGTGTTCCTTTATAGAGAGTTAACCTCCTTTTGAATAACTGGCTTTGAAATGCCAAGGAGCCAACCACTTCTAGAAAATGTCACAACAAAATTGTCCAGTAATGATAATTGTAACCTAACTTATCATCTTTATAGTATATTAGAGATGACACATATCCCTTTGCACTCCGCTGTCCCCTCTCAGGGGACATCGGAATTCTAGCATATCACTTGGATGTCCCCTCTCAGGGGGGACATTGCAGTTTATTAGTGATTACGGGGAATTGAGTTAATTCAACGCATGTGTCCACCGCAAAGTAGCGTCGAGTAGCTGGTAGCCAATGTCCAGAATGGTTTGGAGTGCAAAGGGATATATATACTTTCCTCATTTTCATCTTTTGTTTTAACTTCTGTTTTAGGACTGACTAGAAAGATAACTCAATTGTAATACTGCTCAAAAAGATTATATAAAAAAATTAGCTTGCTCAGCACTATTGCAATAAAAAGACTTAATTATTCCCATATCTACAGAACAAAGGTAAAGTGTTCTTTAGTTATTTATCAAGTATTTTAAAAACGAATCTATAAATCTGTTAGCATTGGTATGGAACTATGGGTAACAGAGTTGGAACAAGTTATTAAACAATCAGGTTAGCCCAAGGAACATAATAAAGTAAATCTTAAAGGAAGCTGAGTTATAGTCTACCAATATAGAGAATGACAGCAGGATCAATATTACAGATGAGTCATGCAATATGTAATACTACTCGATTAAAATAATCACATTTTAAAATATATTGAAGTATTAATCTTTAGTAAAACAACACGATTTAAAAGTATGATATAAACTCTCTGAAGATAATTCCAATTGTCTCCCCCATCTCCATCAACTCTAGCTCCCGTATTTTCCTCTCTCAATTTCCTTCCCTTAATCTCACAGATTTGCAGCTGGCTCATTTGGCTGAGTACCCTTTGAGGGTTCTATTCTAGGCCCACTTCTCACTTGCAAAACCGGACTGCTTTCCCTGACCAAGACTGTCAGATATTCTAGAGACATCCAAAGAAACTTAGGTAAATGGAATTATACTCCATTACAATACAAACAAATGCATTAGGAAATCATATTACTGTAGAATGCTGTTCTTCCGAGAAGCTTGAAGGTCTGAGTAGACATTACCTCATTTCTCCTCCCAGATCTTCTAAGGCAGACTAACAACACTTTGTACACGTCAACGGAGTCTGTGATGTGGCCAAGGTTGTTCTCAGAATTTGTGACCCAGTTCAGTGAACCCTAGCTCTGCCCTGCACCATCCACTCTATAATGCCATAACGACCTCAGAGACTACAAAACGAATAAGCATGGGGTGGAAGAAAGAAGAGGATGTTAAATATGCATTCTGAATACAGCAAGGCTTCAGACATTTATCCTACCAATATTATGTCAAAGCTGACTTATTTGCTTTTTAATATAAATTTGATAATTTGTAGGCACAACTCTGTGTTCAACACTATACTTGCATAAAAGAAGACATGGCTGGGGCGAAGGAGGGTGGGAATAAGAAGACTTATGCATCAATTCATTTCCAAGTACAGACCAATTACTACTCAGAAAAAGAAATGAGCTAAATAGACTATAAACCCAGAGCATCTTGGACCAATTCTTACAACTCAGAAATCTTCTAAGATTAGGATTTATTTGTCCTTCATTTAAAGAGAAATAAAGTTCATATCATCTTGTAGGCCAGGCTATAGAAGAGCCTAGTGCAAAACTAGGAGGGTTCTTTTTGGTGCCAAATGCCTGCCTTTTCATGCTCTCTCCTTCCTCCTCTTAGTTCCCTTCTTCCCACACCTCACGTTCCCTCACAGTCATGGCATCTTCTCTTGCAATTTGCTCATGTCTGCCACCCGCAGCAAGTTTCCAGGCTCCAACTCTCTCTTCCCCTCACCACCTTCCCACATCAAAATTACCATCCTGATGCCCACGTCTCAGGGATCTATCTGCTTCCCCACCAGCAGTTCCAATGGAGAGACCATGCCAATGAGTACCCGTGGGTTAATGAGTTACTCACCAAGGTAACCCACTTTTATTCTAAGGAGTCCTTCCTAGGATTATACCACAATCCCAAAACATGACCAGAAATTTCACGTGGGCTGGGAATGTTGGACCAGACAGAAGGGACATCACAACTAGAACCTTTGGTGCCTGCCAATAAGCCTTAAAAGTGATAGGCTCAACCTCAAAAAGTCTCAGATACCAAAAACCACTGATAAGACATAATTAGAGGATGGCACAAAGTAGAAATAAAGAGTAACCAGGCTCGGACTGACTCCTGCCTGCTTGTAGGAATAGACCATGAAATTAGTTGTGTAGACTCACCCAAAAGGTAAGTTCAAGGAATACGCAAGATTTGGCTCTTCAACCTGGGGGGGGGAGGGGTCAAGAACCAGAAAATATCGACCCACTTTCAAGCTTCCCCCAACAAACAACCTTGGCAGTGTGAATAGAACAACGACGGGGACAAGGCAGAAAAGTCTGGAGACTGATTTCAAGTGTCCGGGGAAGGGAATAAGGATCTTTGCAGTGCTGGGTCTACTGTAGCAATGGCCCCACCTGCAGATGTAGCAGTAAAACTGGTCAACAGAACTCAGAGGAGATTCCCGAACACGACAACACTCTATACCTCTTGCAGCAGGTCTGGGGGCCCCTCCACGGACTTGCAGATGTTCACTCTTCATATCTATAATATATCCCTTAATACAGCTCATATTGGGCTCTGGGTTATTTACAAACAGACAAATTGTGTCCAAGGAAAAATGACATATGACAAGTTTACCAATTCAATGAATTACTGACATTCACCTAATAAAAACCAGTTTGTGTCAGGCTCAGTAATAAGCCCTAGGGATATAATAGTGAATCAAACAGACAAAAATCCCAGCCAATATGACTCTTGTATTTAGTGCAAGGAGATCATGAACCAAATAATTAGAGAATGGTAAGTGGAGGGGAACTGGTGTGCTGAGATCAGGTATATTTGAGGTGACAGTGAAATAAAAACCTGAAGGGAACTGGGACCCAAGGATACCTCAGGCAAAGGGAATACCAAGTGCAAAGCCCTGAGGTGACAGTATGCCAGCATGTTCAACAAATAACTACTGCCCAGTGTGTACATTCTCTAAATGTGACCTTGTAAACTCTTAGCCAGGAGTGAATAGATCTGGAAAGTAAACACTCATTCCCTAGTCTCAGGCACACCAAGAACCAAGGAGGAGTCATTGCTAATGCCTAAAAACGGCGCTGTGCAAGACCAAAACAACGGAATCCTGGTAATGGGTTGAAATAGATACTTTACTGCTTTGTCATCTACATTTCCAAGTAGATGGACGGAATCTTTTCACAAACAATGTATAAAAGAAAATATATTGAACATGCCAGTATTCCCAGACATAACTTTAATATGCTTTCAAAATGTAATTCTATACATCACTAAAATGAGACTTCTTAATGAAGTTTACTCTTATCTCTGTTTAAAAGCCAGCACAATGCCTAAGCATTCGGATTCAATGGCCCATTAAAGAAAAGTGCACTTCTCAGGCAAAAGCACCCTCAAACACACCCACAGAAAACAGAATTGATTAGAAAGAGGGCTTCCAGGAGGCTGCTGAAAGCTCAGGCCCCTCCATCAGCTTTTTCATAACTCCACCCTTGAGAAATAAGGCTCCTCCCACCTATAACTTTCCACATCTAAAATGCCACAATAAACCTTTAGTCAACAAGCCCTTGCAATACAGCTATACATGATCTCTCCATACCTATTCTCCCTAAATCCTTTTCTTAAAAACCTTATGAAAATTTTTTCAAAAATAATTTATTGAAAATTATTTTGTATTAAAA